TCCTGCTGTAGCTGCTCTAGCGTAGACACATCAATGACCTTTTTTGAGATCGCGTTGAAGAACGAGCACAGCTTTATAATTGGGGCGTAGACCTTTGGGGGGAGGATACCACGAAGGGCGATAGGGAGCAGCTGAGTCATAATGACATGATAGTCATGGGCCTTCATAGGGCCATAGTTGAACTTGAGTTCTCTCATGTTCACTAGCCTCTTCGGGTTTGCACAGTAGCCCGTCGGAACTTTGAGTTCATTGAAGAAAGAAATAAGCTTACGCTTTTCTTCCTTCTTCAATGTTTATGACGCAACCAGAAGTTCGAACTGGTCATTCTCTAGCTCCATGGGATGCAGCTCCTTCCTGATTCCTTGTGTTGCATGTCCAGGCGTGTGGCTAGTGAATCCTTCGATGTCCCCCCGGTGTCCATCAAGGTGTTAAGCGTGTTAGCGCACACGTTTTTAGTGATGTGTATGGGATCAAGACAATGGCGTACACTCAGAAATGACCAGTAAGGTAGTTTCTAGAAAACCGATTTTTTCTTCCAAACGCTCCCATCTGGCGCTGCTACTGCATTGTCCCCTTCCCAAGGATAACCTCCAGTTTGTTGAGTTCTCAAAGTATCACAGGCCCGTCTCGATATTTTGGAGCTAAGCGTTTCTCAATAGTACCGTTGAAATCTTTTCTGTTCCTACGGTAAGGGTGATCCTTAGGTTGGAACCTATGGTGTCCTATATAAACTATCTTTGAGTTATTTGGTAAATTTACCGCATCGGTGTCGTCCAAGCACTCGACACATACAATATAGCCTTTTTGTCTTCTCTACGGACAACAAACCTTGACTGGCAGGTCGGTGACTGTAGCGATAAGTAACCCTGGGCATTCGGTTAACCGAAACTGATCGGTTCGGTTCCTCGGTTCTTTATAAAATTCGGTTAGCATAAAACTGGAACCGATCGTTTAGTTAGGAATCTTGGAACTGAGGAAATTCGGTCTCGGTTAGTTCAGTTTGGTTTCGGTTAGAACCGAACTAACCGAGCCATACATTACATTAGCGAAACAGAAGGGAAGAAAAGGGAAAAAAATGAAAACCGAGCCATAGATTACATCAGCCATACAGTTCGGTTCTTTTGCTATTGGGCCAATATGTACAGATTCGGTTCTTCGGTTTTGTTCGGTTAATCGAGGTCTGAAACTGAATTACCCGACATTATTTTAGTTCCTGAGAATTAGGAACTGAACTAGGAACCGAAATTTTTGGTTTCGGTTAATTCAGTTTCGGTTATTTCAGTTCGATTCTCGGTTCTCGGTTATTTTTGCCCAGGGTTAGCGATAAGTACTTCCTTGATCGTGACATGTTTTTTCTTGTACTCGTCTCAAACATCCGGCACACCATTTTCAAACATCTCCACTAGTTCATCGATCATTGGTTCCAGAAACACATCGATGTCATTCCTAGGTTGTCTTGGCCCTCGGATCAGTAGTGGCAACTGGATGAAAATGTCATTCCTAGGTTGTCTTGGCCCTCGGATCAGTAGTGGCAACTGGATGAACGAACGCTTCATATAGACCCAAGGTGGAAGGTTGTATATACAGAGCGTCACTGGCCAGGTGCTATGATTGCTTCTAACCTGGTCGAAAAGATTCATCGTTTTCCTGCGGAACATTCACACCAACCTCGCCATGCATAGTCCATATCGTATAGTTTGGCATGAACCCCTGATAATCAAGTACGATCGTATAGATTCAATTTGACGAAAGTTCCTATAATTCTTGCAATCTTTGCATGGGCAGAAGACAGGGTTTCCATTCCCAACATGGGCTTTGGCATCGGTGATAAACTGGCTGACGCCATGCATATACCGCTTGTCCGTTCGGGACAGATGCATCCACTCTCGATCCATCTCTGCACAAAAAAAATATTGAGATATTAATTACAAAGAATTAATAAGAAATCGAGCTTCATGAACAACAATTGTAGCTCGAAAGTACCATTTTTGGAAAACATTATTGTACACTAATTATTGAAAAATTGAAATTGGTAGTCCCAGCCCTGTAAATTGAAAATCATAGTAAAAAAACAATTATTACATAATAATGAAGAACAACTATTCTACTCCATGCCACATAAAAATGGAGACACTTATTTTAAAAAAGGCTAAAATTGGAGACATGATCATGAACAATAATGTAGCTCCAAACAATGCCCATATAAATTAAAAAACGCAGCCCCATAAAAAATTATTGCATAATAATGAAGAATAATTATTTTACTCCATGCCACATAAAAATGGAGACACTAATTTTAAAAATAAGTCTAAAATTGGAGACATGATCATGAACAACAATGTAGCTCCAAACAATACGTTGTTACGTGACACATAGATTAATTTTCTCAACAAATTGTAAAAGAATCTACTTTACTTCTAAGAACTAATTATAGCATCACATACTAACAATGATCATCTTGACCACCATGGAATAATTAGCTAGAAATTTAAATATGTTCATAGACACCAACCTTTAGGACGATGGATTCACCACAATTTGAGCCTTGCACAAATGTCCAATTGGAAAAGTGCTATCTAGAATGGAGAAAGAACTAGAATAAGAATCAAGCAATGTAGCCATCAAAACGAAGCTAATTAAGCAACAAAATCAAAGGAGTGGATGTTTGTTACTAACCTTAAAGCAGAAAGATCAAGCCATTTTTCAAAATCCAAGCGCTACTTTCATGGTGAAGAGCAGCCGCAACAATGAAGGGAAGGGCCCAAACGCGCGCCTCTGTTCTCGGGATGGAAGAGAGGAGGAAGAAGAGGACGGCTGCAGCTTTTTTGTGTTGTAGGCTTATCACCGTCGGTTCATGGATAGAACCGACAGTGATAAAGCCCAATCACTGTCGGCTCTTGGTTTGAACCGACAGTAATATGTAGCCATCAAGCCACTGACGGTTAGAGACACAAACCGACAGTGATAGTTGTCATCACTACCGGTTCGGTCATATCCCAAATCAATTTCTAGTTTTCAGAGCAAAGAACCGGCAGTGAAGGGTGAACACTGCCGGTTCTCCTAATTTTAGCAGTGATGAGGCCGACAGTGAAGTGCTATTATGTAACAGTGTATGGTGGTCAAACACTAGTGCTTCGTGTCCCTTCATTCTTTTGGCTTAATTAATTGGTGTCTCGGTGATCTGGTAATTGCGTAGTCATGCATTTCGCCGCCATGTGGTAAGTACTTTGCTCTCTATCTATCCATAAGTAACTTATTCTCAAGACACGTACCATTTTTTTTGTTAAAAATGGCGAATGTCAGGTACTAGTTGGAGCCCCAATTTGGTATGAATTTCTTAGAACGCAGTGCGGATAGAAATTGGATTTGAATTTCTTAGAGCGCATTGCGCCAGCTCAATTGGTACAAGAACCCAAAAAAAAGGCAGAATCAGCATTCTAGCGTGTTCTTCGATCGAGTTTGATCCTTGGTGTAATCTCTTCAACATCGTTCGTTCTTCTCAAACAACTGGAAATAATCATTACTCAGACGCATCCGAACCATCATTTATTTGTTTCCAATCAGCTAGCACTGAAATGCACGCACGTACACGCCAAAGATTTGTCAGTTGTTGGACAGAATAATGTGAGCATAATAGCAAATGTGCTCGCGTCAACTTTAAGGGAGGGAAGTGTCGTCGCAGGCTCAATTATCAGGAAATCGTTAGTACAAAATAACACAACCGATGACCTATATCCATGCAACCTACGTTAATTAGGTGCATTTGCCACACTAGCAAACAGCATAAGGCATGATGCTGTTTGAATTATAGTAACATTGTCGCTTAACAACAAGTATGGGTCAAATCCAACCTAGCATTTGTCCCAGTTTGTTAGTATATGGACAGATGAGCGCAAGCATTTTTTCCCCCCACACTGGCTCTTTCTTCACTTGAAGAAGTCAACTCTGTCACGCATAATTAAAAAAAATCAAAAGGAGAAAAGTATAGTTTGTAAATTGTAAGTACGTCTACTATAAAAGAAGAAATGTTTTTTTAAAGCAATGGCAAGAGCTCTACCTTTCAATTATGATAGGTATTAAAAAAGATATTTATGTACGAGCAGGGGTAACAAGCCCCCAAAGGCAAGATCGGAAGACAAAGTAAGTGAAACAACAGCCTTCTCAGCTTGTAGATCGCCAGTAGTAGCTGGAGTTGACGTCAATTAAACATTCGTTCAAAAACTCATACATTGCTGAGGTTAGCAGACTCCTACATCTACTCAGCTGGAGCCTGGAGCCATTGCGTAGCAAAGACTTTTGGTTTGATAAAAAATTCAAAACGCGCGCGCACGACATAGATGGCCGGATGAGTCCATTGGTGTGGAAGTGGACCTGGACGGAAGACGCTGGGTGCAATGCAGCGCGGGCCCATATTCCTTTGGCCCGTGATTTGCGCCGTGAGGCTCTGCCGAATCAGCTGGGCAACGCGTGTCCTGCCGGCGCCAACCAGCAAGTGCCGCTCAGCTAGCGGCGGCGACCACAGTGGAGGCGCCACCGCGCGCCCGCGTGATGAGAGGACCACGATTCCACGAACCCATCTCCCAACCGGCCAAGTCCACTGCTGCGTAGCGTAGCTTTGCATGAGGCTGATCATGCATGCTAGCTATGAGTGGGAAATCATGACAAGCACCCACCCACTGGAATTATTGGAGCTCAGCTCAGGCTCAGCCGAGCGACAAGAATGCTCCGACATATCCGGGTGCGGTGTGTGATCATTGGATCGGAGTTGGGGAACATGTAATCTTGCATGCGGACTACGAGTGCACAAAGCGACACAGTGGAGGAGTTGGCCAGTTGGCCGGGTTCGTGCATGGTCGTCTCCAACTGCGTGTGCCTCCTCCTTGCAAATAACAAAAATAACACACCCCGCTCCTAGCCTTTGCATTGCATATATGCATGTACACAAGACAAGATCCTCACCACGTTAAATCTTTAATTACGGCCTAAATCAACCCGGCCAACTATCTGCGCGACTCCCATGACGCCGGCGACGGCATCGTCGACGCCGTCCTGGCCGTCGCAGTGCCCGACGAAGCAGTGGTCGCCGATGACAGGCGCGGCGTGCCGACGTGTTTGATGGCCACGTTCGGAAGCGGGCTGCGCCTCCGCCGCTCCTGCTCCTTGACCAGCTCCGCGGCCATCGCGTCCACCTTCTCGGCGTTGGTCCGCTCCGACAGCCTCCGCCCGCGGAACAGCACCGATTCCACGTTCCGCTGCGCTAGCATCGCTTCGGCGGCCACGGCCGCTTCGTGGGCCGCCGGCACCTTGCTGGCCTGGATGCGCACGTAGTTGCTTCCACACGCGTGCCCGAACGCCATGGCCACGGACTCGTCCACCATGTCCGCGACGCCCTCGGCGGTCACGCACGCCAGCTCCCGCGGCGACAGAGAACGTGCGGGCATAGGCGTGCTCCACCCGTTGCACACGGTGGCGGCTGAGGCACCAGCGCCGATAGAGAGCACGAGGAGGTCTTCGACGCCGGTGGCGAGGGGGAACTCCTACTTGTTGTGGAGCACGTGGGTGATGGCGGCCGCGGCCGGGTTACCCATGGCCGCCACTCCCCCGGACGCCCCGGCGATAGTCGTGGCACCGTCGACCGACCTCACGCTCGCGAGCGCGCCGCACACAAGTAGATCGGCCTCAATCCTAGAAATCACCTCAACAACAATGTGTCATACAAGTAATGTAAGTCAAGCACAAGTGACACAATGATTTATCTCGTGGTTCGGCTCACCACCAAGACTTGCCTACCTCCACGTTGTTGAGGTTAGCCACTAAGGCTTAGAGCTTTCCAGCCCTTCCTCGTTCTCAAGTCAAGAGACTTAACTCTTATGATGAGGGGTGAGTTTACTAGCTTCAAGAGATGGTTACAAACCTCCCGGAGCTGCCACACAGGTTGGCAAGCTTCATGGGCGACACTCTAGCCGGCTAGGAGCCAAGCTCCGAGAGTTACAAACACAACCGCCTGCTCTTTAGAATTTGGGAATCAATGGAGTTGCTCTCTAATCAAGTTTGGATTCTTTTCCTTCAAGGATTGATTGGGAAATCAATGGATTTGCTTAAGGTCTTTAGGTCAATAATGGAGTGAGAAAGAGAGAGCTCCTGCTCTGTTTTGGACGTGCTGAAGTGAGGAAGAAGAGAGCAGGGTTGGTTACCGTTGGGAAGGAAGGGGAAAGATATATATACACCCAGCCCCAACGGTCATTTTATATAGCAGATAGCCGTTGGCGAGGAAAGGGAAAGATATATATACCTCCCAGCCCCCAACGGTCACTGCACCCAAGGGATCGGGGGAGACGGAGCACGCGACCTTGAGGTCGGGTGAGCCAGAGCCCGCAACCTTGGGGTCGGGCAAGACGGAGCCCGTGACCTTGAGGTCGAGCGAGATGGAGCCCACAACCAAAGGGTCGGGCGAGCCAGAGCCTGCGACCTTGAGGTCAGGCGAGAGGGAGCCCACGACCAAAGGGTCAGGCGAACCGGAGCCCGTGCCCAAGGGGTCGGGCGAGTTAGAGCTCGCACCCAAGGGGTCGGGCGAGTCAGAGCTCGCACCACGCAAGACAACAAGAGTAATAGTGAAGTGTAGATTGTCTTGGTTGTGAATCTGAAGATAATTGTGGTTGTTTGAGCACTTGGTAGCACATATTAGCTTAAGCATTGTGTCCCCTTTATAGTGCGGCTTTTCCTATACTCAAATTTAATATATAAAAGAATTTAAACCTCCTTTGAGTTTGAAGCCATCTACATATATAATTGGGGGCTCCTCCGTTTCGTGTAGCATCCTCGAATAAAAATACCATGCTTGTCATCTCGATAAATCTTATTAGTTCTCTGATTGTGTGGTCATTATCACCAAACCCCATAATTAAGGCTTGATTGCACTTTCAATCTCCCCCTTGTTGGTGATTGATGACAACCCAATTAGATCTTACAATAGATATGAAATAAATACTGAGACTTTCTAGCCATGGGTGTAGAGCCTCCCCCTAAGTATGTGAATAGAGAATTGAATTCTCAAATTGGCATAAGAAACCAAGATTCACATTTTAGTGAAAGTGATGGGGCTCCCCCTACATCCATGCTTCTGTGGGGTGCTGCACATTATGTCAGGTATGTAAAACGTGATGCAAATGACAGTTTATGCACACATGTGCTTGCTGCTATGCGGCAGTGCCGCTCCTGACTGTACGAGCAAGACAGAGTCAAGCACCACATTGCTAGCTCAGATAAAAAGATATACAACATAGCATAATAAGATGACTTCTAATCCACATAATGATACTTGTCCATATTCGATACACAAAGAGTCAAATAGTAGCATTATTTCACAATTTAGAGTTTTGAGCGACTCTCAAACTTTCCACCTAGCGAAGACTAACACTCATCGAATAGGACATGAAGCGCAACTGCTGACCGTGGCGTCGAAAAGTTGATTGACCTGACCCCTCTATTTTTGACCCTTTTAATTTTCTCCCCCTTTGGCATAAAGCACCAAAAAGAGAAGAAAAGAAGAAATATCAACACCTACTCGTCATCTCCTTGGATGTCTGTCCAATCAATATCATCACCTCCTGCAACAGTCCCGGCACCACCATCACCATCATCGTCATCGGAGTCAATACGTGCACAGCCCTGACGGTGAGTAGTGGCGGTGTAGCGAGTGGAACGAGTGGAACGCCTCGGCTCCTGTCTCTGACGGTATCCCTCCATGGTCTCATCCCAATCTACTGCTCGTCCCTGCTCCTCCTCATCATCATCATCATTCTCATCATCTGAATCTATGTCAGAGAGACTCATAAGGTCATACTATGGAGGAGGTGGAATAGGAGAAAGTGGTGGAAGGTCCTTTCCACGCTGCTGACGCTGCTCAAGCTATGTCTCATACGCTCTGTCAGCTACATATGTGCACTTGCCGAAGATTGCCTTCAACCACTTGCCAAACTTCTTCATCTTGCCTCCTCTGCGAGACCTAGAGCGGGAAGACTTAGAGATATCTACATGAGCATGAGAGCTCCATGCTACCTGCGTAGCTGCAGCTGGCTAGGTCTTCTCAATTTTGTAGACGATGTGCATCCCATCCTTTGGAAAATAAAGTCTAGTGACCCTCTCAATCATGAACATGAGGTAAGGGGCATAGGGCAGACCCCTCCTCCCATCCTCCACTACAAATCTCAACTCAGTCTACATGAATCTAGGGACATTGAACCTGTCCCCACCTAGAGCAAATCTAGCCAACGCATTTCTCACATAGCCATTAATGTCTGAGGCTGCTCCATCCTTTAGGTTGATGGTATTCCTAATGAGGTTGTTGAGGATGTAATAGAAGCTATGTAGATCACTCCTCTTGCCATCTGCAATCCTTCTATCTCTCCACATTAACTGATGTCACGGATCTTAGCTCAAGGCTCATCATGAATGTAATTGTAACCTCTATGCTCCTCCCCAAAGCCAAGAATCCGGCCGAATATGACAAAATCGACTCGGTAGTGCCGACCATCAGTCATCAAGTGAATCTCATCAAAGGTCTAGTCATAGAAGTATGTGGCACGAAACTGTGCAAGAACCTCCTCATTCCAGTTATACTAGAAACCCAAGATGTCTGAAAGCTGGAACCTGTCATAAATTTTGATTACCTTGTCAAACTTAGGCTCCTCCTTCTCCTGCATCTCATCCCAATCAATATACTGCATCTTGATATTCTTGGTTTTCTTGGATACAAGAATGGCAGTGGCATAAAAGTTGGAATAAAACTCATTCCAGAATCTATAATCAATGCCCAAATCCTTGCGCACTATATAGGGATTGATCCTCCTTGCCTCTTCTACCAGCTTCCAACTCTTAGAATAGGTTACAACGGCATGCTGGCAGGAGTCATCTGGAGGTCTCATGATGATCTCACCCTTAAAATCTCTCATGTATCTATCATCAAACTCAGAGAGATGATGTGGGGTGTCAGGAATGGCATCAGTGGTACTACCTATCATCTCTAGCCTCTTCTCATCTTCAATGTATTGCACACGCCTCCCCCTATCACCAAGTTCCCTTGGAGCTACACTACTGCCTACTGCCGTTGACCTCCCTCGACCACGACGAGGTGGATCCTTGTCTCTTTGATCATTTATCTTCCTTTTCCCCCTTTAGTCATTATCTCCGTGCTTCATCTTCTCAAACGAGGAATGGAGAGGAGAGGGAAGAAACTACTTGGGTCAGGGGCAGTAGCAGCCGTCAGTGATGTTGAGGGAGTGCTGACAGCTGTCGTGGCACTGCCAGAGATCAGCAACGTGCGGCCAAGCGACGGCGACGGCGCGGGCGTCGGCGTCGGGGGGAGAGAGAGAGAGGGAAAGAAGTTACTATGGACCTAGGGATAAGAGGAAGAATAAATGGGCCCCATAGTAAAATCATTTGGGCTGAATCTCAATTGAGATTCAAAGTGCGGCACTGCCGCATGCCTAGCCCCGCACTGCCGCACGGCAGGCGCGGTACTGCCGCACTCCCCAAAATAGTGGAGTTAGCTAGAATCTAAATGACTCTCTCTGTATAAGATATGGACACATATCACCTAAATAAATAATCAATACATACCATCATCATGATACATAAGTTGCCTTTTATAAATTATTTTCATGCACAATATGAAAATTTTCAACTCTTTTGCCTAGATACTAGTTTATCAAACAGAGGTATGCTAAAATTCAAACCACATTACGAGAATCAAGTATATTTAGCTCACTACGCAAAGCACAAAACCTTGACTCGTCGAGGGGCTTTGTGAAGATATCGGCTAGTTGCTTTTCGGTGCTCACATGGCGAATTTCGATATCTCCTTTGGTTTCGTGGTCTCTCAAGAAATGATGACGGATGCCTATGTGCTTGGTTCTAGAGTGGCTTACGGAATTGTTTGCAAGCTTAATGGCACTCTCATCGTCACATAATAATGGGATTTTGGTAAAATAACATCCGAAATCACGAAGAGTTTGCCTCATCCAAAGTAGTTGGGCACAACATGCACCGGTCGCAACGTACTCAGCCTCAGCAGTGGAAAGGGCTACACAGTTTTGCTTTTTAGAACTCCAAGACACTAGGGATCGTCTAACCAATTGACATGTCCCCAAAGTGCTTTTTTGATCTACTTTGCAGTCGGTGTAATCAAAATCCGAATACCCAAGTAGATCAAACTTAGAGCCCTTAGGATACCATAAACCAAGGTTAGGAGTGTGTACTAAATATCTCAAGATTATCTTAATGGCCACTAAGTGACACTCTTTCGGGTTAGCTTAAAATCTAGCATATATGCACACACTAAGCATAATATCGGGCCTAGATGCGCACAAATAAAGTAGAGACCCGATCATAGAACGATATACCTTGGTATCTATGACTTTCCCTTCAATGTTGAGATCAAGAT